ATTATATTTAATTAATATATATTTTTAATTAATTAACTAAGACCTGATTTTTGCATTAGTCAAAGTTAAGATTTGATTTTTGAATTATGTATAGTTAATCCCTGACTTTTGAACTCTTCCCTTTTTTTAAACTTATAAAATCCATTAATATTTGATTATAGGACATTCTCATTATTATTGGACTTAGGCCAATAACATAGTAGTCGAAGACATGATTAGAATTAATTTTAGAATTGACAAAAGTATAAAAGTGGAATTCTTTTATCCAAACTTTATAGTTCTATAGCCCAATTTTGGGTCTAAAGGAGTAAAGGGTCCGCCCATGGTGCTATCATAAGCTGATTGCTCGTTGACCCTAAAGCTAATAAAAAATAGGACAATTTGTAGTACAAGTCTCAAACCTTTTAAAAATATACCATGCTATCCTAAACCTTTAAATCCTAATAGCTACATCCCATCTATTTCAATAACTGTGTGCACGAGATATTTCTGGACGGTTTCTATCCAAATGACCATTACTTGATTAAAAGTCAAGCATCTTAAGTTAAAAGGAGAAAAGAAATCTTTAGCGCTTAAGTGACTCTTTTTTGCAGGCGGTCTATTCTGCACCGGACTTAGATTTATGTCTAGCCCTGGTTTGTAACTTTCTTAAATCCTTTCATTTGATTTTCGTCCGAGAAAACCCATCTTTTACCCAACAACATTTTGTCATTGGTTTTAATACGTTCCATTAGATAGGAACATTGCATTTATCCATGTTGTGAGACTCACTCGCTACCATTTTGAAGTACTCAATATTTGGTTCCATAATCATAATTGGAACCATGACTGGTGCAATAACAAACGCCAGAATCCCAGATTTCCTTGGTCAAAAAGGGATAAAGGGACCAGCATACTAGCATGTTTGGTAAAGTGGATTACATAAGAAACAAACCAATGACTAGCTTTTGGGGTATGGTTCTCCCAAGTTCTATGACATATTCGTGCCCTACTTTCTCCTAATTTGTTTGCCCATGCAATAGGCATTGAGAATGTCCACTGCTTTCTATATCAAAGGGGATGACTAGCAATATATTTTTCTATGGTATAATGCATTTTTTTTTCACGGCCATCCGACTGTCTACCAGAAACATAGGTCTTCCAAAGTCGTAATATCGCGTCTGCATTTAGTACATTCTTGAAAAATCTTGGTCACTTGATTTTGCATAGGAATATTTTCTTATGTGGTACTTATTCTTGTTTTAATGATTGAAACATGTCCTAAGAGTCCTTTTATTCTTGATTCATTAACATTTGCTAATTGAAACTTTAACAGGTTCCAATTTCTATAGTTGAAATAGCATAAAAAAATCTCAGTGGAGGACTCGCAACACTTAATCAGGTAAACAGAAAAACACATGACACACAAGAGAATTGGATTGTACTTGGATGTACTTATAATGAAATTTTTTTTATTATATTATCTAATCATGTCCAGTACTATGTACCAAATATGCACATCATGTAAATTTTTACCCGTAGTGGAAGAAAATAATTACTGATTGTAATTTCTGATCTATTTTCTCAGCAGATTATGATTGTGTGTGGTTCCTCTGTTGCATACTTACTATAACGTGGCAAAACTTTAGGTCTAACCGGTGAGTTCATATTTGCTGGACTCGTTACAATCTCAAATTACAAAAGAAACAGTGTGTTAGAAAATATAGTGACGAGTTTGAGGGACCTAGTTATAAACAGTTTGGTGTTTCTTTTGCTGACATGAAGGACTTGTCCTGTGCATTCTCATGCTCGTTGGTATATTCTTAGTATGACAGGAAAGGCATATACTACGTTACGATGAAGTTCCTAACTAGAGCCTGAATGTATCCGTTTGCATTAAGGATTATGTTAACTGATTCCTGTCTTATTTTCCTACTTATAACAAAACATAAGTAAAAGACTTCATAATCTAGAATTCAAGTAAAGGTTATATGACAAAACTTGACAAACTAATGCAAATTTCGACAGAGGATAGCAATTTAAATGACTGAATTATGATTGTTATATCTCTTGATTGTTATTACTAGAAGTAGCAGCCCTATCGAGCATGGAAATATGGAATTTGGAGTCGTCCCATTTGAATCCGAGCACATCGTCCTCCTTTAGATCCATTCTCGTGACAAATTTCTTTCTCCAACTGCTTGTGAGTACATAACTTTTTGTTTTCCATTGCTTGAGTTTTAAAAGGTGTTCAGATTCAGTGTCTGCATCATAAACAATGATTGTTGCTCCTTCTATTGTTTTACATTTCTCAGTGCGACTTGTGTCCATATAAGGTATGACATGTTTCCGCATAAAATCTTTTCCCAACAATAACCTGGACGAAGTGTCCACATACCTGAGTACAACCTCTTCTTGAACTGCCATGGATCATCCTGTGAATTCAATGCTAATGGAATATTTTTACGCGGCCGTGTTTTCTCTTTGCCTTGGAACTCTTGCTGGAGTTATTTGTATCGGGCGGCATACCTTTACAATCGAGATCACTAGATTGACTTGTTACAGTACCATTTGCCTCATCAATCTCGACGGCTAGAGTTCCACGAGGCCTTATTCAATTGTTGTGAATGTAATTCACCAGAATTTCCATTGTTGATCACAGCAGAGATTAAACTATGATCGTTCTTTTTAACAACAATCTGTGTGCCAAACAGTTTAAAAGAGGTATTTCCATTCTGTTTATCATCGTTGAAGTTCTTTACCGGTTTCTCCTTCACGGGATCAGCTACCTCTACAAATTCTTCTGAAAATTTCGTGTGACCTGGAAGAGAGTCGAAGAGGCGGTGGGAACTCAAGCTCCTGTATTGGGGCGGATGACATGACTTCAAAATTGTGTCAAGGGAATTTACTTAATCATGCACAGCGGAAATAAAATAATTTTCAATTCTCAAACGAGGGTTTGCAATGTGTTTAGATAGAAACT